GTCACGTTCACCCTCAGAAGGCCGTGGTTCAAGCGCGTGGCACCCGGTATGAGCGCCGCGGGTCCCGGCCACCCTTTTGGTCGCACCAACCAGTCCGGCCTGGCCAGCTACTACGACGTGACGACGGCGCTCTCCGGCAATGCGTCCTGGCGGCGGGAGACGCACGCGTTCTCTCGCTGCTCGATTGCCCGCCTGGGCGACCAGTGGATGGGCGTCGAGGACCAGGGCAGCCTGCAGGCCAAGCGGTCCATGGTGCGCAGGACGGCGGGTCTAGCCGTCTGGGACCTCCCGATGGACGACTTCGCCGGCGAGTTGGGGCCCCAGTGGCCTCTCCTCCACGTGGCCTACGACCTGGTGCATAGCTGAGGACCGAACGCGCCGGCACGACGTCGTTGATGAGTGTTTATGTGAAGTCCTGCAAGCCCGACGCGCCTTCGCCTTGCTCCCCACGCGCGGCGCCACGGACCACCCCACCCATCAGCGCGATTTTCGTTTAAATTTTACTTTACGTTTTCTTACGAGTGAATTACAATAAATTATATATTGTTCTAGATTGCCAAAATGCGCTGTATGGCGTCCCCTCTTATTTCAGGTGTCTAGCTTCTATTCAGCCGTAATGTAGTGCAGTGCAAAAAACAGACAACAAACGAGCGAGAGAACGAAGACGCATTGCATTCTTCCAACTAATGTTTATTAGATGGGGGCGCACGTGTATATACGCAGTCAAAGCAAGAAAAGGTAAAAACCCGGAAGAAAAAATAGAAAGATGAAAATTAAAGAAGTGTTGGTAAGTCGCACACGGGCACTATTATCGCCCCCTTTCCATGAATCGTCATAAACAAAAGCTCTTTGAAAAGTCAGGGGTTGGTATTTTCAGCCCGGATTTTAAATTGGATTTATTCCTTTCGACTACCCGATTTCATACCCGTTTTTGTGGCTGAGTTTCTGGCAGTGGTGCTCGCCTTACGCAAGTTAGATACAGCAATTACATCAGCTGTCATTATAACAGATTCCCTATCTCTCTGTGCGGCACTTTCTGTTGGTGCTGATAATCACGTAACAAAGGCGTTTCGTGCACTAGTACCTGCGCATTTGAGAAAAGTACGAGTAGTTTGGGTGCCTGGACATAAAGGTTTGTTTCTAAAGGAAATAGCTGATTCCTTAGCTAAGTCGTCAATCAGCAAACCAATTCTACCGCTCTGTCCATCATCCGCTTATGTGACTGCTGCTCGATTCCGCAGGCGTACGCTTATGCAAGTCTTTAAAGGTTCAGCACTAACAAACTCCACAAAACATCGCCATTCATTATATACCTGGCGAAGAGACCTTTGCCGCACTCGAACACAAGAAGTAGCTATCACAAGGCTGCGTTGCCGGGTACCAAATCTAAATTTCTATAAACACAGGTCTGCTCAGGCACCTTCGCCACTCTGTGCATTCTGTGATGAACTGGAAACAATAGACCATTTCTTTTTGACCTGCAGGCGGTTTAACACATTACGAAAAACCCTATTAAAAATACCTTTACGTGGTATTGGTATGGACTTATCTCTGCCTGTCATTTTGCCTTTTGGAGCTTCCATTTCTGGTTTCTCTAATGCGACAGTATGCGCGGCCGTCCGGGACTATATTGATGAAACTAATAGGTTGACTAATTAAGCAGTTTCATTATCCTAACAGGTACACATAATTATATACGTATAAAATCAGATCATTGCTCTATTCTAAAAATAAATTCGTTTATGTAAATATTTGTATGCATTACATTAAGCACTACGCTTTCCTTAATCTTTCTGTTATACCTCGATCATTCCAAATCTGAACACAAAATTTTAAAACCACTCGATTCTTGGCCAATCCCCCACAGTGGGTATGCGCCACTAACAATAGGAGAACAACAACAACAACAGCTCTTTGTCCGAAAGGTGCAAGGAAGGCATGCTTACGCATACGTCCCCAGACCGCTTGATTTCTTCAGCCTCAATGATTTCCCTCATCCTTTGGTCCCGATTGCGTAAAAAGACCAAAGACCGCAGTCTTTGGGCGAAGTGGGCTGTGCCGCGTACCCGCTCTAGAGCGGGTTTGTGTCACAGGGGATGCGATATGGCGGTACTTGGAGCGTGCACTAGATGGATGGACGGATGGACAGACAGACTAGCAGACGGATGTACGGACGTATGGACGCACGAACGGATGGACAGACGGATGGACTCAAGAACGGACGCACGGACAGACGGACGGACGCATGAATGGACGCACGGATGGTCGCGCGGACGGATGCTTCGACTGTGTCATCATCATTCACTTCGTGAATATGCTAAGATTTTTTTTCAAAGATAGGGCTACACTTGCAGTCCCGCACATTGATGCCGAGTTGCCCCGATACTGTAGTGTGAACGCTATATTAGTGTTCACGAATTCTGTCATTCAGACAGACTTATCGGCACTTCTTAAGTTTCCCCTTTTGATTTTTTCTTCGTGGTTTTTATCTTTCCTTGCTTTACCTGTGTTTATATACGTGCGTCCCTATCTAATAAACGAATGCAGTGTCTTCGTTCTCTCGCTCGATTGTTGTCTGATTTTTTGCAGCGCACTACATTAGATTGACTTGTTCCAACTCACCCAACAAGCAACGTTGCTAAGTTTCTATTCAGCCATGCGTAATTCCAGATTGCTTGTGATCTAAGTGATCTGGGAGCCCGTTTCTAGTATCGCTCATACTAGTAGGGGGGGGGGGGGGCTGCGGGAACGACGCTTAATAATTCTCTTTGCCGTTCACCGTTGTGGTTCTGATAGATAGATAGATAGATAGATAGATAGATAGATAGATAGATAGATAGATAGATAGATAGATAGATAGATAGATAGATAGATAGATAGATAGATAGATAGATAGATAGATAGATAGATAGATAGATAGATAGATAGATAGATAGATAGATAGATAGATAGATAGATAGATAGATAGATAGATAGATAGATAGATAGATAGATAGATAGATAGATAGATAGATAGATAGATAGATAGATAATTCTGCAGACAGACAGACAGATAGATAGATCGGCAGACAGACGGAATGACAGACGGACAGAAGCACGGACGGAAGCAGGAATGAACGGATGGATGGAAGCACTGCGGGTGGACGAACGGGCGAACGGACGGACGCAGGGATTATTGGACAGACGGATGGACGCTTCGCCCCACTAAACATCATTCACTCTATGGGTATGCTGTGTTTATTGTTTTGTTTTTAGGGGGAAAGCTCCTAAATCCGTGAGTCTGTCCCTCCTATAGCTCGTACGTGACCACCTTATTCGATAACTCACTCAGCAGGTGTGGACAGACAGACAGACAGACAGACAGACAGACAGACAGACAGACAGACAGACAGACAGACAGACAGACAGACAGACAGACAGACAGACAGACAGACAGACAGACAGACAGACAGACGATTCATGGTTTTCCGATAACTTCCCTCCGAAGCTTCGCCCCACTCGTCATTATTCACTTCGTGGATATATGCTGTGATTTTTCTGGACTTGTTTCCTCTCTTTTTTATATATATTTTTGTCCGCGGCTGGAGACTCTTGCGTCTCGATTGGACTCGAATATATTTTACAAGTAGTCATATATCCTTTTTTTCAAGCATGTTCGGCTTCTGAACGAAGTTTGAATAAAAACTGTAGAGCTTCTGGTAGAATTACGGTCGAGCGTGTGACTTAAATTGAATTTTCGAAGCTCGAAAACGCTGTCCCTTCGTTATTTTCAAGAATATTTCCAGCGGCTGCGGACCACCGGAATTGGGAATTAAGCTTCATGAGCATAAATTCAGGCCACAAGTTACAGTGACGCATAACAAAAAGGCAGCAACGCTGTTAATGTCGGAAGCACCGGTCGGCGAAATCACTCATTAGTCGACTCATTCAGACTCAGATCAAGCCGTGAGTCTGAGTGGGCCCGAGTAAGTAATATTTTGGTGAGTCCGAGAGAGTTCAATTGGTCCAGCTGAATAAAGTTTTGGTCAGTCTGAGTCCGGGTGAGTCTATTTCTTGAGTGAGTTTTAGTGAGGTCCACTTTCTTTTGCTGACCCAAAGTCCTATCTAGTCATCTTCAGAATTACTATCAACCTTACCTAGATTAACGTTTATATTCACGTCTATATTCACACGCATTGCAAATCATTATCGTTCACACGCCCTTTCAATATTTATTGATCAGGTCTGTGATTTATAAGTAGGAGGTGCCTTGACGTCCCTGCCCCCTCCGCCTGTTCCAGGGAAGTTCTTGGTGAATATATATTATGTAGTAATCTTCCCCCAAAAAAATTAGCTACCTGGTTTGCGAGCACGTCATAACTTGTATTCGAATGTACGATATTAAATGCTGCCAAGAAGAGCATATATTGGTGTTAGGAACTAGACAAAACTTAATTCCAGGCTAATAGACTCGTGAGTCAAATCACTCGGACTCAGATCGAGTTATGAGTATAAGTGAGCCCGGGAGAGTAATATTTTAGTGAGCTTGAATCCGAGTGAGTCAGGTTGCAGAAAATTAACGTGAGTGCGAGTACGAGTGAGTTGGCTCACGAAAATTTTGGTGAGTCTGAGTTCGAGTGAATTGAAAGGGCCAAATGAATTTCATGAGTGTGTCTGAGTGAGCACCACAAGTTCTGCCGACCTATGTTCAGGACTCGGGAGACACAATTTTTTTCTAGTAGATGCGCTTCAGTTCCTCCATGATGTGCTCTGTCAAATGTCGTAGAACCGAAACCGAAACTAGAGCAGCGGCGCATGTTTCGGTTTTTAGTAAAAACTAAACTGCGATTGGCCACTTCACGCACACGGCCCCGTCGCACGCTTTTTCCCACTTGTGAAGTTTGTATATTTATTTTTTACTTATATCTCTTATTTCTCTTTCATTATCTTGCATTGCAATATCTAATAATAGCAGATACTTTGCTTATTACTTTACGTGACCTGTTGAAAACCGGCATGCGCTTGTCAACGACTCGCTATCTCACTGGCTGCACAGAACACCTGCTGGCTGTCGTAGCTGTCGTGGTGGGTCATGTAGCGAGTACTGACAGTGACACCGGTGACGCGCCGATACACAGGAAAGTGCACAGCGGCTTCAGTCAGTATCTGCTCTCTTGACGAAGGGGGAAGTCTTTGCCCTTCGTCGCATACGCAACTGCTAACATCCGTGAGAAGAGCGCACAGCTCTCGCAGATATCCAAGCGATACAACTGCAACCGCCGTGCCCTCGCATCAAAACCGATTCCACGAGGAAATTTTTTGTGGCTGACGAGTTTTGCCTGTGATTGTGCCGCAAATGATGCTGAGCTTAACGCGGAGACTGACCTTCGGCCGAGCCGTTAGCAGGCAAGTTTTTTTTTTTTTTTTTAACGTGCGCTTTTATTAAAAGCCGAGCGATGTAGCTCGCGACGACACAATATCGGTTCACTAGACGCCGATGCATATATCGTTAATTATGCGCCGAGCCGGTTTTTCACTTGTATTGCGCGTTTCCAATGTTCGAGGTCATTTCCTCACGATTACACCCGCCTACTGCGACTTGTATCTGTTTGTGCTTTTGCAGCCGGGTTAGCGCGGCCCTGTGGTCTTCGTCGGCGGCGACACCCGAAGAACGCTTCAAAGTCGCTGTCGCCAACCTCGACAAGTTGTCCGAGGAGCCCTCGAACGACGTTAAGCTCAAGTTGTACGCGTTGTACAAACAGGTAACTGTGGCGGCAGCATTCCCTGCCGTGTGGATGTGTTTTTATGCGCGTGTGGCATGCTAGCTATGTGGTGTGCGCGTAACTGAAAGTATGCGGAGCATCAACTTTGACGTTAGTGTTTTTGCTTCGTCGTGTTAAGTGCTAGAGATCTGAGAGCCTGACCTTCAGTCTCGATTAGCGGTGCTCTAGATTTGCGAGGATACTGTCGTGACACAAGTTGAAACCTGTCAATAGCATTATCGAACAGGGAATATGTGATCATTTTGCTTGTATACTCGGACATCTTGGAGTGCAGCTCTTCGACTCTGTCATGCACCGTGGTTTTCCTTTTACCAGATGTCCATTCACCTGTTTCCCTATTACACTTGAGCAAGTATGTGCTAGGGTTTCTGGACTCTAGCGTATGCACGAAGCATGTCTCATCGCTTGATATTCATGCAACTTTTACATTTGGTACGATACACCATTCTGTTTTGAAGTCGTGAGTCAGATGGAAAGGCGTGCGGTCGGGAAAAGAGATGACAGTTACGTTGGACACAAAGCATTTCTAGCCTCAATGTAAAGCGCAGAGCACATTCGGGGCCAGGGATGTTGTGTGGTGTCGTCGCTTGGCGTAATGCGGGCAAAACCATGTATAAATATAGAAAAAAATAGGAAAAAAGCAAGATATAGAAAGGAAAAAAAATGTGAAGAAAAAATGGAAATAAAGAAATGGGAAAAAGAACAAGGGAAAAAAAAAGCTGAGAAGGCTGCCCAGCTTCACACTTCCGTAAAGCTTGGGCACCCAAGTGGCCATAATTTTTATGAGAACAATCGTGGTCGGTATCCATTTTAATTATCTGCACTATCTTGTTTTAAGGCGAACAATATAACTGTTGGTTAGTGCAACTTTTATATAGGCTAGTTGGCTCATTGTTTCAAAAAAGTAATGGTTGCACTAAAAAAGTTTTCAGCGGTAGTGTATTAGTGTCTTTATTAGTTTAGGTTATTAAAAGTTATAATATCAGCACAATTGTCTTTACTGAGTGAAGGAAGGGAGAGGTTATTTAAAGGCTCGTTTACCTTCAATAGACACAGTAATTATGAGAACTAATGGGCATTGATACGAAGGAAACTTTGTCCTTTAAATCAAGCACGAAAGTTTCATCTTTCCTTGGCATCATTGTCGGCCGGTTCTCATTAAAATTGTCTTTACTGAAATTTGTTCAGATTGTAAAATGTGAATTCTGTAGAAGCACTTTCTATGGAAACGTCAGCTATGTTAAGATCAACCATTCCCTCTCTTAAGATGCTGTAAGAGCACCTGTACAAGCATCTCAATAATGTGCTTGCTCATTACCAAAAACCCTTAGAAGTGAAACTACCACTGAACAGCATAATGGTGCCGGAGCCTGACACCCACTGTTTTGTTTTGTTCTAAAAGCCTTTCTGCTTGTTCAATCTGATAACTCTAGTGCAACTCGAATTCACTAAAGTTATATGCCATGCACTATGAATTTGATCATTTTAATTAAGCACCTCTGTCTTTGATGCATTGTCTATGCAGTAAATTATAGCACTATAAATAGGGAGCACTTGATTAAAAGGAAGGCAGTCTTGTAATTGTTTTTAGTTTTCATTTGTAACACTACATGTATCAAAAGAAGTGACTCACTAGGGAAGTTTCACTACCACACGAGTTGTGTGCTTTCATTGGGCCACTAAAAAGAAACAGCAAACTAGTTTAAAGGGATGAATTCGCTCTGAGAACCGTAATATTGTTAGTTTCACCATCATATGTTTGTTAATAGAAGACTAAATTCAGGTCAAGCTTTCATGTTGAAGTTTCTTGTGAAATCGCTGCATGCGACACCAGGGATTGTAAAGTGTATTTTTCGTATTTTGGCTGCACTGGCTTCACGAAATTTCCTGAAGCAAAGTATGTCAAGTCTCAAGCTCCCACAGATGACAATGTACTTCGTTTTTGCTGATTAGTAATTATTAAGGACCTCCTAGATGCCATCAAAAATATATGACGTCGCGACATTTGGTGTGGGAATTTCAGAACGGAATGGCCACGTGCATTTTTTTTTTTCCGTGCAGTTTTCTTGCTTACATAGCATCTTCTTGTGTTGAGTATGGTGAATTTTGATTGTGAAAGAGTACTTTTTACTAGTATTAAAAAATTGTTTTCTCTCTATTGTCCCTGTAACCTTGCAGTGCACTGACCATTTCAATTGTGATGTGTTTGAACCTCCCTTGTTCATAGGCTTTACACAGTGTGGCAGTATGCAGACCTTTGCACAGTCTCATGCATAGCTTGGCACACTCGCACTCATTTGAACGTGGTGAGCGTGAGTATGAGTGAGCACTGATGAGTGTGAGTAGAACTGAGTATGAACGTGAGTACTCATGAGTATGAACGTGAGTGAGTACTCATCAGGGCAAGTAGGCGCGAGTGTTAACGTGAGTGAGTGCCTACGGATGCCAGTAGGGGGGGTGTGTGAACGGGACTGAGTACTCATGAGTGTGAGTGGACGCGAGTGTGAACGTGAGTGAGTGCCTACGAGTGTGAGTAAGCCTGAATATGAAAGTAAGTGAGTGCCTACGAGTGTGAGTAGGCAGGAGTACAAACGTGAGTGAGTGCCTACAGGTGCGAGTAGGCGGACTACAAACATGAGTGAGTACTCGTGAGTGGGAGTGGACGTGAGTGCCTACGAGTGTAAGCCTGAGTATGAAAGTGAGTGAGTGCCTACGAGTGTGAGTAGGCAGGAGTACAAACGTGAGTGAGTGCCTACAGGTGCGAGTAGGCGGACTACGAACATGAGTGAGTACTCGTGAGTGGGAGTGGACGCGAGTGCCTACGAGTGTAAGCCTGAGTATGAAAGTGAGTGAGTGCCTACGAGCGTGAGTAGGCAGGAGTACAAACGTGAGTGAGTGCCTACAGGTGCGAGTAGGCGGGCTACGAATGTGAGTGAGTACTCGTGAGTGTTAGTGGACGCAAGTGTGAACATGAGTGAGTGCCTACGAGTGTGAGTAGGCAGGAGTACAAGCGTGAATGAGTGCCTACAGGTGCGAGTAGGCGAAGGTGTGAACGTGAGTGAGTACTCATGAGTGTGAGGGGACGGAGTGTGAACGTGAGTGAATGCCTACCTGTGTGAGTAGGCGTGAGTATGAATGTGAATGCCTATGAGTGGTTCTATGTCTTACATTGTCTCATTTTGTTCATAATAAACTGTTGTTTGCTGTGGGTCGTGATGACCCTGCTTACAACCTTTTCAAAAAGAGATTGCATCTAAGCAACCCATCAGACATATCAGATTTTCAAAAAAGCATCCTTTACCCCCTTAGGCTTTAGCCATTTGCTTTCAGAGTATGTTAATTTTATAACATAGCTTATTCCTTTGTAAAAGGTATACGACTTTCTGCCATAAGATTGTCAAGATCTTCAATTTCAGGACTCTGTAACAATGGAAAATGTCTTGCACCAGGCTGTTTCAAGATTAGTTTTAATGCAGACATTGTGAAGCACCTTTCCAGTTATCATGTCTTCCACATGGAGACAAAACATGCCTTCGAGTTGTGCAAATGTGGGCCACACAAAAATAAACATTTTTACCAAGTTTTTAAATGTAAATGCTACTAACTGTAAATTATGGGAGGGCTCGCATTCAATGCTGGAATGCGCTCTTGCCACTTTGGCTTGGATTAGATTGGAGCTCGTGCATTGATAATATGCATGATGCTTATTAAGAGATGGTGCCAAGCTGTCGTGTTTTATCATCATCAGTGCTTGCAAGAAGCAGACTACATTTTGCTGCAATTTTTGGTGGCATGAATATAACTTCCTGCTAGCTGTATTTCAGCCCATTTTTGTTTGCACTTTCCTTATTGTTTCTCCCTTAGAACTGAGTAAACAGATTTGTTTACTCATTGTTTACTCGGTTTCATTCTTTTTATGTGTTATATTGTTGTAACTAGATAAATACGACGTTTTTGTTCTTCCTTAACTATTCTCGGTGATGAGTGATGAAATAGTTGGTCGTCAGCCTCTCCTAAGAACCTGACTTTTCTCGCACCAGGCCACAGTGGGCAAATGCAACACGTCCAAGCCAGGCGTTTTTGATCTGGTCAACAAGGCTAAGTGGGACGCCTGGAATACCCTCGGGGACATGCCTAAGGTGAGCTTACAGTCTATTTACCTTCCCTTGGCTCTCCTGCTTTTTTGCCTTGAGTTTCTAGGCTTAGGCTGCGACTGCACGTCTTTCTCCTTTTCTGTTTGCTCTCTGCATTCTGAATGCCGTAGACTTTCAGTAAAGTGAAATCTCTTTGAACATAATTGCTGGTCAAGAGAACTGCCATTGGTATGATCGACATTGTACCTAAATTTTCCACTCCTGTTCAAATATCTCTGTAAACGGAACTTCTGCTAAACGGAACTTGTTTTCATGGTCCCTTCAGGTTCTATATAATGGGTCTATTGTACATTGCACCACATTTCTTCAGTAAACTTGAAGTCTTGGGTGACACCAAAAAAATAAAAAAAGCACCAAGAGTTCACAGATATTTTGTTATACCTACATAATTTGTTTTTGTCTCTTTTCATACATGACCCTTCTTGGCTATTACATCATCAACACTCTTACTTAACTCTTACACATGACTATTTCCAGTCTGCTAGAATAAGAATGCCTATTTTGCTGTTTCTGTTGTGCTTGTGTCAGTAGACGTCTAAGTAAACGAAAATCTGTTGAACGGAACTGCTACTTCAGTCGAACAACTGCCTCTAATATGATTGGTCTCTTACTTAAACAGGGCATACCCGTTCATCTCTCATTAAACGAAAGTATCGCTGAACGAAACATTTTCGTGGTCCTTCAGGTTCTGTGTAACAATAGTCTACTGCAGAAAGAATAGAAGCAATGTGCCTTTTTTTTTGCAGGAAAAGGCACAAGATGAGTATGCCTCGCTCGTCGACAAGCTTGGTGGTAGTGCCATCAGCGCCAGCTCGTCGAGCGCTGCCGAGTCCGCACAGTCGCAGTCTGTCGCCACTGGTGGAGACCTCGTGTCGAGCGTCGAGGACAAGGGATTTGTGATCCGCTTCAACCGGCCTGCCAAAAAAAACTCCATCACGCTTGAGATGTACGATACAATGATCGACTACCTTAAGGAGGCAACCGAGCGAGACGACGTCCACTACCTGGTGCTCACGGGCACAGGTGACTTCTTCTCGAGCGGCAACGACTTGGGCAACTTCATGAACCGGATGAAGACGGGCGCCCCGCCCGATGTGCTAGCCAAGGAGGCGGCTGAGCTCGTGCGGTGAGGGACGGGGTTTGGCTAATTGCTTCAGCACACTTCAGTAACCTGCCTGTGCATTACTAAAGTTTAGGTTTTGAGTTCAATAGTCACTGTAGTTGCACATCATTGAGGTTAAAGTACAACCAAATTGCGTACTGAGGTTTTAGTGTGCATTAAAAAATCCAAAATAGTTAGAATTACTTCACTGTTACCCACGTACAGTACTTTTGTAAATGAGATTTTTAAGAGTGTTACAACTGTTTCCTAATCAGGAACCTGATTTTATATGTCCATGATTGAGTGCATTCAAGTGAAGGAGAATACTGTTTCGAAAATATTGAGAAAAATTTATCATCAGTGTTATTTTGCTGCCTTAGTTGACAAGATGGAAGTAGTGACTTGTTGGGGATAGCTTGTCAGTGCCAAGATGAAAATCTACAAGTGTTTTCGATGCTGACAACATAACAAGAAATAAATATTAAGTAGGCAATATGATTTGCCCAGATTATGATATGACATTTTTGAAATGCAAAGCATTTCTTGGCCTACTGCAAGCACTTTCGGCATCTATCTGCGTATCTCTCTATCTATAGGCACCTACGTCTGGGTGCTCTCATGATCAACCCATTGACTTTGGTACACCAAAAGTACTTCAGGAAGGTAAGATAGTTTGTCGTATACGACTCACTGGTCACGACATGAATAATGCCACAATCTCGTTGCGTACGTCTTCAAACACTTTACAAAAAACTGGCACATACCCCAGGGCGGGTATGTGCCACTGGTATGCGGGTATGCACCACAGGTGTTTAACAATATAAATCTACCCAGAAGTGGCGAGAATGCACATGGCTAATTTTAACCGCTAAGAAAAAGCTGCCATAGGCAGCGTTGACCGGAGCAATAAATGTCGGTGACAATCGTTGACAACCAATAAATGTCGGTGTCCCATCAGGAATAGAACTAACTCGTGCATTCTGCGTGGCAACGAAATATTCTACCACAGAGCCATGCCAGGACTCGGAAATACTTTACGAAGAGACCCTAATGTGCAAGTAACGTCAATTATGGTTGCAGTACTGGCTCTCAGATTTTATAAACATTACATACGTACTCCTATAGTACAGCCATCATGTCAGGTTAATGTAAGTTGTAGTTAGGCACCATCCCTTGAAGTTGATTTGGGTAGAAGGGTTTAGGGCTACTGTCCTAGCGCGCACCAGCGCAAACACCACTGTTTTATATCAGCTTACCGCTTCTGGTGCCGCTAATATCCATGTTGCTGTTGGCATCGTTATGCTGCTGTAAACAACTGATTGATATGTGGGGTTTAACGTCTCAAAACCACCATATGATTTTGAGAGACGTCATAGTGGAGGGCTTCGGAAATTTCGACCACCTGGGGCTCTTTAATGTGCACCCAGATCTGAGCACATGGGCCTACAACATTTCCGCCTCCATCGGAAATGCAGCCACCACAGCCGGGATTTGAACCCGCGACCTGCGGGTCAGCAGCCGAGTGCTTTAGCAACTAGACCACCACGGCGGGGCGTCCCTGTAAACAACTACTAATATAAAACATACGTGGGTGTGTAACGTATGTGTGTGCATGTATTTGTACATATATTTAGCGCCACTTCATTCGCATTATTCGCATGCTTTGCATTGCATCGATTTGCAAGGTATGTGAAATGTGCCGAATTTTTTCAGCCCACGTGGAGGGACCAAATGAGAATTGCAAATTAGTTGTAACTAGAAGCACTTCCCACTCATTATATTTTAGATACTTGCAACGTGCGTGACATTGAAAGCTGTTGTTTTTTTTTTTTGCTTTGTACAACAAATTTCATTAATATTTATCACAATCTCAAGTTGATACTTTATTATTGTGTCCACTCAGGACATCAGCAATAATGGGAGATGCGGTTTGAAGGAAAAGAAAAAGTTTCTTTAATCTGTAGCCTGAGGCTATGAAATTTTTGCTATTTGCCTAACTTCTTATGCTGATTTCAGATATTTATTCAGCTTCATTGTAAGTTGCGTTGTTTACCTCTCCCTTCTCTCTCAATGTTAGGTTGCTTCCTTCCTTCCTCCTGCATTGTTTTCGTATTGTATGACGACAATGTTTAAAATATAGCTATTTTTAGACAGACATTTTCTGCCACTAAACTTTTATAATTATGAGTCATTTATTGCTCACATTGGTTTACATTTACTGTAGAAGGGAAATGACTATAAAGAAAGTTTGTATAATACATTTAAATGAAGAAAAAAAATTATAATGTGAAAAGTGTTGAATGCTCAGCAGGCCATACTAATTGCTTACTTTAAATTCATATTTAAATTATGTCATCCTTTAAGTGAGATAATTGTACTCTAATCTGTGCCAAAAATTTCATCTTTTTCTGGCCATCAGAAGTACCAGAAACATGGCGTCATAACTAAAGAAGTTGCCCGAAATTGCATCTCAAGGAAAAACACATTTCAAACATGTAAATGAAAGCTTATCTGTGTGGCAGTAATGTGCTTTTTAATCTGATTTATTCCATCATGAGAGCTTGGGAATCATGGTCATTTTGAACTTAAGGCTTTGGTGAACTCTTCATGCAAAATGCAATGGCAAGCAGCTAGGGGACAATTTCCAGGGGACTCTAGACAATGAGCTCTTTCTAGTTTTTTGGTAGCCATCTGCTGCTCTTTAGAGGCAATCTTGACCTACTTCGTGTTAAACTATTATCTTAATTTTTTTTTTTTTTTGGTGTGAAGGTAAAAAAACTAAGCATGTGAAAGCAATTGAAAACAAAAATTATGTAATTTAGGGGAAAAAAAAGTGGCATTTTTCGAGTCTCAGCTCCCCCTAAGTTACAGTGAGTGCTTGACGATATATTTGCCTTGCTTTAAAACAGTAGACTGAGGATCACTGGGGACATTCTCGTTTCTGGTGCTGAAGGAAAGGATGTTAACACGCGAAGTTTCTCTTGGTGCACAGCAGCAATGTTTTAGTTGACCATTTTCATAATACTCTGTCATATGCGTTCTGCAGTCGGTATGTTGCTGCTTTCATCAACTTTCCCAAGCCGGCAGTGGCTCTGATCAACGGTCCTTCCATAGGCGTTTCCTGCACAGTTCTAGGTTTGTTCGACTTCATTTACGCCTCGGACAAGGTAAGACTGCCATGCCTGACTTTGCTTAACCGATGCTTGCTCTTCCTGTTGCGTTGCATATACATTGAAACCACGATATACATTGAAACCACGGGCTAGGCACGTTGAAAGACCCTTCTGGCTGCCTTGCGCGATGGGCACTCCGCATCCAGGAGTACGACATTCGCGTCGTATACCGCTGTGGACGCAAACACTCTGACACTGATGCCCTGTTTCGCTCACCTTTACCACCAGATCAGACGTGCGGAAACAGTTGCCTCCAGATCTTGTCATCGCTAAATTTCAACTCGATTGCCACCGAACAACGTCGTGACCCATGGATCGCATCTCTTATCGAATATTTATCTGGCACGCCCAACCTTCCAGTATCTCGATCCCTCCGACGTCAAGCTTTCCAATTCGCCATCCGCGATCAACTTCTTCATCGACGCAACTACGCTCCCGATGGCCGCCGGTGGCTGCTGGTCATTCCACGCACTTTACGATCGCAAGTATGCGTCTCTCTTCACGACGATCCGCAATGCGGCCACGCCATAGTGTTCAAAACATATGAACGCCTTCGCCATCGCTATTACTGGCGCGGCATGTACAATTTTGAACGCAAATTCGTGCAGTGCTGTCCTGACTGCCAGCGACGCAAATCAACACTGCCACGTGCGACTGGCGCATTGCAGCCACCTCCATGCCCTGCCAAGCCATTTGATCGCGTCGGCGTTGACCTCTACAGCCCCTTCCATTGACACCAGATGGTAATCGGTGGATTATAGTGGCGGTTGACCACCTGACACGCTACGCCGAAACAGCCGCTTTGCCGAGCGCTACTGCTCACGGTGTCGCCTCTTTCATTTTACAACGCTTTATCCTTCGACATGGTGCACCTCAAGAGCTCCTTAGTGACAAAGGCCGCGCTTTCCTATCCGAGGTTGTCGAAACTCTGCTTTCGGAATGCCACGTCATTCATTGGAAAACGACAGCATACCACCCGCAGACTAACGGACTAACGGAGCGGTTCAACCGCACGCTAGATGATATGCTCTCAATGTACGTGGCATCTGATCATAGCAACTGGGACCGTGTTCTCCCATACGTCACGTTCGCATATAACATCGCAATACAAACCACCACGGGATTCCCACCTTTCTTTCTTCTTTACGGACGTGAGCCTTCCCATACAATTGATACCCTACTTCCCTACCGTCCTGATGCTTCCGAGTGTCCGCCTATCTCCGATGCTGCTCGACAAGCCGAAGAGTGCCGCCAGCTCGCCCGTGCGTTCACCTCGAAAGAGCAACAACGCCAGAAAGAAAACCGTAGCACCTCTCTTCCGGATCCTAGCTATGCTTCAGGATCTCTTGTGTGGCTTGCCATCCCATACCAAACTTCGGGACTCTCCTCGAAACTTGTCCCCCGGTACGAGGGGCCTTACACCGTTTTGGAGAAAACCTCTCCGGTTAATTTCCTAATTAAACCAGTTTCCCGATCGGACGACATGCGCCGGTGTGCACGTGACATCGTCCATGTTTCCCGACTGATACCGTACCATGAGCCTCTGCCTGAAACTTCTTAAGTCGCCAGGATGGCTCCTTTTTCAGCAGGGGGCGGTTGTGAAGAAGAAGATGTGCCTGCAGCGAGCAGCATTGCCAACGCCCGGCTCTCTCGCCTCGTGCTTCGGCTCGCTGCTGTGCCGGTCTCTGCTGGACGGTTCATCACGCTGTCTTGCCGTTGTCGTTAACTACTGATAAACCTCTTCACATATGCAACTTCGTTATAATGAGGTTTGAGTTTGTAGCTGCCTTTGTTGCACTTGGTGAACCTTGGGTTCTCTTTAACGATATTGTTGATAGTTATAATAACAGCTGTTGTTCAAAGTTGCATGTATGAAGCGGTGAGGTAAAAAACTGCAGCATAAACCTGTGACTGATTATACTTTCACTAGCTCCATCATACAGGCATGATCCCAGACCCTGATGTTCAGAACTGTGGCATGCTAGAACATCCATGCCACTAAAGTCGCGTCACAATATGAAATTGGCACCGTTGCGAACTAAAGCTTGTACTTCAATAATGTATTGTCACTTTGAATATGATTTTAAACATGGCGTTTCGGGGCCCATGAGACGTGAAAACTGCATGCCGGCAATGACATGCTAGGAAGGATTGCGAGCATTAGTGGTAATAATGTTTGTTCAACCCATTTTTCGCATAACTTGGCCACCATCTAGTTTCAAAGCTCCTTGGATCGCAGGACCAGTTTTTTTTTTGTGTGTGTGTCATTTATGTGCTTTCTTGTAGCACATGCTGGCGTCTTGCCACTTGAACTTCTCATAAGGCATATGTCTTCTGCCTGAAGTATTGGTCGATGTGATGTCTGTGACGACATGCCTTTAATAATAAGAGCCTATTGGAAGAATACTAAAGAACTGTCCATACTCAACCACCAGGGGCGTAGACAGGGCATGGCACACTGAGCCCGTGTGTCTCCAAATGACCTTTTCAAGGGGTGCCCCTCCCGAAATCATTAAAGTCTCCCCCCACCCTCCCTCCCGAAAAAATTTTTGGCTGCACGCATGTCAACTGCTGTTCAGATCTCTATGCTGTGATGAAGTGCTTTCCTGAAGTGTGGCCCTTCCCAGTGCATTTAAAGTCCACGTTTTGCACTCTCAGCTCCAGGCTGCGTGTGACATTTCAAGGCCGGAACTGTGTTGGCTCGTATTCTGCATGGCATTTTCACTTTTGTTGTGTGCAGTTTGCAAATGGTTCTTGTCTGAAAGACACCATTCACATTTACCCTCAAACCTCGATGTAACGAAATATCGGTTATAACGAAGTAAATGAAGAATACTGTTGCAATAGACATAGTGTTATAAATATACCTTTATGAAGAAATTTATGATATAACGATGTTATTTTCGTCGAAGATGACACTGTGTTATATTGAGGTATGAGTGCACCTTACTTTTCTTGCTTTGTGCAGGCTTTCTTTCACACACCATTCACACTGCTCGGTCTGAACCCTGAAGGCTGTTCTTCCTACACATTCCCAAGGGCCATGGGTGTGGCGAGGGTAAGTTCTAGCATGCATGATGGCAAAGCTTGAATTGTGAAAACAGGCCAAGTGTAACACAGTCAGAGGTGGCACATTGGTACCATCAGGTTTCATGGATTTCTCTTATGAATGTACTACAGTTTGCAAAGGCCTGGTAACACTATAGTCTGTTTTATTGGCTTCTGATTATCTAAATAGACAGCCTCATTTCCTCGTCATGTATAAAATGTGACTGAGGACAACAAGAATCATTCCAAAGATCAAACAACACAACAAAACTTGGAACCATGCACACCAACTGTACATTAACTTTGTTAAATGCCTCTTTGTGACATGTGCATAAGCAGGAAAATTTATAAACCTCATTTGCATGACCCTCTCTTTGTCTTGGCAAACACATAAAAGATTTGTCATAAACCCCCAACACTTTTAGCTTTGTAGGTCATTGTAGGCAAATGCCTAAGAGACCGTGCTACTATTTTTCTCTCTGGCAAAATAAAAACAGATCTACTAGTTGAAATTGCCATGCATTTTGAAGCAGCAGAGGCTTGCAGATCATGCCGTGGTCCTTTACTTTGTTATCATGTTATCAATTTCCTAAAAAGAAGTGGATTCCTCCATAAGCTTTAGAATTAAAATGTATATACTGGTTATCACTAGGTACCTTGTGTTTGGCACAGCTTAGCCTGAGTCACTCTTGTGCCAATAAACCCAATATATAACTAACTAACTTTGCTTCATGTAAAGTTATGGTGCTACTATGCAACAGTATAATGTGCGCCTGCACCTTAAAAAGTAAAAGAGCAGCACCAGACCAGGATTGAATGTGCAGTATCGCTGTGCCAAAATTTCATTGCACAGCTTTGCGTGCCGTCAAAACAGTAGGAGGGTCGACTGTCAGTGGACCATTCGACCTGTGCGTGATTTGACTGCCTGTAACTCTTGTGTGCAGGCCAACAGGGTGTTGATGCTCAACGAACAGCTCAGCGCGCAGGAGGCTAAGTCGTGCGGATTCGTCACCGACGTTTTCCCTCATGCCACGTTCCATGAGGAGGCCAAGAAGAGGCTTCAGCAGCTCGCCAGGCTTCCGCCCAAGGTATTTTTATCTACAGTCAACTTTATTTTAGTTTTAGGACCCCATATTGTCACTACAACTTCTCCTGTGTGTGCTCTAAGCATCCTTGCTTTAATTACAGTAGCTGCAGTTTAAGATGAAAGCTACTCTAGTAAATTTAATATTTATTACAAGTGTCATTTTACATGGTGAATATGTCATTTTACATGGTGAATAGTTCACAGCTCTCTGCCATTACAAGTTATGGTTCATCACAGCACAGATTACCTGCTGGTGTTGCCGCCAGCAGAGCACATGACTTTCGGAAATGTTGGAATTTTTTGGTCATTCGTAAATGTTGCGTGCGGGCTTTCACATAAACATGAATGTTGCAGTGGTTCAAATAAAATATTGAGATATTTTTGTACTCTGAATTCTGTCTGTCTGGTGTGAAGTGATATTCACAAATAAGCCTGAACCCTGAACTCATCCTTCACTCATCCAAGTTGAGCAGCAGTACTTCCACTCACCTGAAAACGATTCTTTGCTTGTCAATCGCTGCTGGCGATTATTGCTCATAGGCAGTGACTTCTTTGGGGTAGAGCATAGAGAGAAGGCATGTTCTAGAATACACGGCTCAGTGTTTGAGGGTAGCAAGAGGCATTAAAAAAAACTGGCAGGTCTCTTTACGCATTCGCCTAAAGCAACTTGAAGAAAAAAGCAGTCCGTTGCGTGTCTTTATCATCATCTTTGATCATTTTTGGTACCATTCATGTTGTCATGGACTGCACCGACCATAACTGTTTGTTCTACTTGTTTCACCAGCAAAAAAAGCTTTCATATGCAACATATGCAACATTTACAGCTAACAGATGGAATGATTACTCAATATTTTTTATATGTAACACAAGAGCTAGCTATGATGTTTGTATCATTCTCAAATATAACCACACCCTGTTTTATACATGGCAAGCAACAATATGAAGATTATCAAAATTGCCTCATTTCAAACCACAATGTGCATCTTGTAGAGAAAACAGAAAGTTATCCATCTTATAACTTCTTTAGCACACACAAAAACAGACAAGAGACAGGTGGGCACTAACTCTTAGCTAATTTATTTTTGAAAGAAACAAAACACACAAGTACCTGGGAAGCAGCACAGTACATTTGCAAGTCATGTGACAGGCAAACAAAAAGATATGGCTAAATAGAACTTAAGAAACTGCACTCCCTATCTGTTAGAGCCACCGAAGATTGACTAATACATTTATTTGTACACCTATTTATGTTGCAGGCTTTTCTCAGTTCACCTGTTAGTTTCTCTTTATCTGAGAACAAAATGTGCGTATCGCGAAATCTGGGATCACAATGGCATGATTTACAATGATCTGACAAGTGTGAAAATATTTTTTTAGTGAGTTAGCATGCTCTTTTAGTTGTGTATTGATGCAGTGGCCAGCCAGTCTGTCCTATGTACACGCTTCCAAGGGTTAGTGTTATCAGATATACCACCCCTTCTCATCATTTTATGAAGTTCAATTGTTCTTTTAAGTGATAGCTACATTTTCTTTCCGCTGTTTTTAACTTTTGGCCAACGGCCTGACACAAAAGTTGTGCCTTAATAGGGGCGCTGAAGACATCAATGCCATATCTCCAGGCAACTTTTTTTTAATCCGTGAGAAAACCTGTGAATGTATGGCAGAACCGGGCATTGCTTTTTATCTTTACTGAAGTGGTTCCTTGAAGGTGGTCGCATGACTTATGCTATCTTTTTTTAACTTTGTCAATAGCTCTGGTAATAACCTGTTCCGGGAAACCTACTGAGGATAGCCCTACTACTTGTTTTGAAAAGCTTTCGTTCATTGTGTGATAGCAAGACTTTACCATAGCCCCTTAAGACAAGACACTGCTATTAAATTTTCACCAATATTTAGTATGACCTGACCTGTAATGGAGCAGGAATTTTTTCGATCAATAACATTTTGGACCTATTAATAACATTTTTGCCTAACCACAAGCACTAGATGTATAGCCCTAGATTGAAAAAACAGTGTATGGACAGATATGCTTGCCTCCTATGGGTTTTTTATTTTTTTCACTCTCAGTATACATTCTTTCAACATCACTTCCGTGACGGAAGTGCATCAGCAGAGCTGTGGTGGCCCCGCCATAAAACACTTTCTTCTTCAATGTATGTTTCTTACGTGTAGTGACTTGCTTATTCAATCGGTCACAACGTTAATGGAGCAGCTGTGCCCGGGTTGTGGTATCTGTACGGTGGGTGTCGTTTGGATTTTGTCATGATGTGGGGAGGATTGGGGAGCACTGGTTGGAAAGATGCCCCCTTTGCACACCCCTGGCCTGTTGCCGTCCATAGGCATTAGCAGGCATTTGTCAAGCATATCACCAAAGCGCCCGGTACAAGCTCGGCAAGGAGTGCCCCTAGCGGTACCTCAGTCTAGGTGCTGCTCGAGCACGTCCACGGAGGACGTGGCCGCTTGCCGCAGGAAGCGTCGCGCCTGGCTGCGCGTCACGCGGCGGATAACGCCGAAGGCCACGACCACCTGCGTGGCCAGCATCAGCGCCAGCGGCAGGTCGACGGCGCGCTCCAGGGGCAGCGGCCGGGCACCGCCCACGGCGAGGAAGACCAGCAGGGGCAGTTGCAGCAGCACGCTCAGCAGCCAGAAGCCAGCCAGCGCCGGCATCTGCAGCAGTGGTGATGGTCGTCGGCAGGATTTTCTCTCGAGGGTGGGGGCGGGTGCAAACCAGTGTATCAGTTGCGTTGCAGCTGAGGGAGGGGGAGGGCACTGGTGCAGCTTAGGTGAGGGAGGGGGGGGGGGTGAGTGCTGCCAACGCCTCCTAAAGAAAATTATGCCTGGAACGGGAGCCGCGAACGCGCTGCCCTACCCTCTGATTTTACCCTCCTCCTTCGGTACGAAGGCGAGCGTCTCCGACGGCCGCCCCCTGCGAACACAGCAATGCTTTCACAGTTGCCTCCGAGCAGGCGTGATGTCACGTGACAGAGTGGTACGATTATTTAGAAGTGTGGCAGCTTGGGCTAGTTGGTATGACATGGCGATAGCTATAGCGCGAGAACAGAACGACGACACAGAGACAAGAAGAGACGAGCGCTCGCATTGCACTTCCAGAACTCCTGGTGTGCCGCATTTAAAATACCATCGTTGCATAGCAGAACACTTCAGCGCACGCACCCAAGAACAGAGGAAGGTCATGACAACACGGCACGGGCGCTTGCTTTCAACTCATAATTTATTCGCAAAGCTACACAATAAGAACAGTATCGTTCATTACGTCACACGATTGTAATGCTGGTATCACGTGAACATGTTCAGAGACTGTTTCCTTGGAGAGGACCAAGTAATAGACGGTGCGCTTACACCAAGCTAACTCACCCGCCTTTGCTATCAAATCAGCCTATCACATCCCTGACATCTTGGCTCCTATTTCTCGCTACTACTCCCTTACACATATACGATGGTTTGCAGGCTTTCCATTTTTTAACCCGCATTCATGGCAGTGTCCTGAATGATTGCCGTCCCGGAAGTTTCCCACTATCTGTTCTGCTATGAAAAACCAACTCGTCCAAAAATCAGTGCTCCTGCTATTGCTTGCTCCCCACGCAATTTACATGGTAACACTCGTAAACTTTAGTGAGCCATGAGAAACTGATTAAAACAGCCTTAGTGGTTCAGAATGCTATGTTTACTGCGCAACTTGCTCTCACTTTCTTGACCGTTGAGAGCCACATGGGTGTCAAATGAACAAAATTAAGACCTTCGTGGTCCAAGAGTCATTACCTCCTCAGTGTAATGGTGTTCGCAACGGAACAAATAGAAACACCCTGACAAAGACGTGAAACTGATTGCCACTTCACATACACTTTTGCAAAAAGTTTGGAGGTAGGGAAAAGGAGGTAGGGAAGAGTTAGCACCTCTTTATTTTCGCCCACAATAGGGCGACGGGTAGAGACGCTTATGGGTTGTATAAATAAGCGTTTTGCAACTTTTCAAACCCCCAGAATTCAATGCCACCACCTGCATGGCAGGTTTAGACAACAGTGCACAGTTGTGTCTTGTATTTTGCCATCTGCAAGCTAGTTTATACGTATACATTCACCCAACTCTTTAACTGTTGTACACGAACTACAATTTTTCCTGTGTATCCTTGTCATATGAGTGAATTAAGTTCCAAAAAGGGTGATTAAAAGTGGATACTCGCAAACCACGTGTCCACAAAACGTCTTTTCTTTTGTGACCCGTTCCATCACATGGCGTTGACAGACCAAAAAGTCGCCGCTACGAACGATAGTTAAAATTGGGACGTTAGCCCCCACAAATCAATGACTGATAGTTAAAGATTTGGGCTGCTTTACAGTCTCATGGACGTTATTGTGCGTGTAACAGTTATATCTCACCTCTTCCCCGAGGTTCCCTGCGTAGCCCAGGTAGAGCCGTGGAGGTTCTACGGCCGTCATCATAATCAAGATGGCCGCCGAAATTGTCTGCTGCGTGAGTGACAGGTAGCGGAGCTGCGCACATCAGAAGTAGATCATAGTTAATTTAGACTGATCGAGGTGCAACTTACCGAGACGACTTCGTGCGTTTATGTCCAACCACTAACAGTCTTTTTATCTCACCACTCCCAAGTTTACGCTGACACAAACTTATACCGCATGCAGAAAAGATGAGTATTTAGCGAGCGGTACGCAAAACGCCATACATAGAGCTTCCGATAAGTTATCCTTCTGTTTATTAATAAATAAAGAGTTACACTGTAGTGAGGCGTAAAAGAAAAAAAAGTTTGTTTCCTCTACCTTGCGTGAGCCTATCCTAAAGAAGTGTAAGACGTGAGAAGTGGTGAGCCAATCTGGACAGCAATCATGCGTGTTCTGGACCACATGAATGCGGTTTTGTAACGCGGGCCAATAACGGCGGTAGTGTAAAGTCACAACACCATACGCTGTTGTGCAAGGTTAAACAAACTAGCTAGGCAAAATGATGTTAGTGCAGGCTTAATTATGCAGGGAAGATGTTGCCTCATCTTCAACGTCAGTCATAATCCGGCATTTTATTTCTCATTTTCGCCCTTCAGTTAATTAGTTGGCAACGGCGCTCACTATCTACCGGTAAAGTTCCCGATTGTGCAAATGCTTCCAGGAGACAAAGTGAAGTGGGCTTCTCCTCAGAAACTGTGATACCGTGGTGAAGCTAGCTTCGACGTGCGTACAAGCACGCATGTGAGGAAAGGTTATACGATTGCGTGAGATGATACTACTACTACTACTACTACTACTACTACTACTACTACTACTACTACTACTGTGATGACGTTTATTCGAGCCGAGAAGTCGCAGCGAGGTCGCAACGGAAAGTGGGCGTACGGCAAGTCTGGCAGAGGCGGCACAAACTCTCGCGCAAGCAGAGCACGGGCTTTTTTGTTGTCTTCCGAAGGCGCATACGCGTTGGTGCGTATGCTCCACTACAATACCCCCGGGATGAAGGGTAGCCATCCTGGCGACTCAGGGGGTAGGCACAATGATGGGGTCGTAGTAGGGCTTGAGACGGTCGACGTGTACGGTCTCGCGTCCTCGACGGCGCAAATCTGGTGATTGTGTTAACGGCTCGATGATGTAATTCACCGGGGAGGTCGCGTCAATGATACGGTACGGACCATGGTACCGGGCCAGAAGTTTGGAAGATAGGCCAGGAACGTGCGGGGGCACCCAAAGCCACACAAGAGCCAGCACGAAATGTAGGAGCTATGCGGTGAGCGTCGTCGTGTCGAGTCTTTTGTAGACCTTGAGCCTCACTTGTCAGAGACCGAGCCAACTGACGACAGTCTTCAGCGTATCTGGCGACTTCCGAAAGCGGGGAGCACTCAGATGCATCAGGGCGGTACGGTAGTATAGTGTCGAGGGGGTGGGAAGGTTCGCGGCCGTACAATAGAAAGAACGGAGAAAAACCGGTAGTCGCTTGCGTCGCGGTGTTATAAGCGAAGGTAACAAAGGGCAATACAGCGTCCCAGTTAGTGTGGTCGGAGGAGGTGTACATCCTCAGCATGTCGCCAAGTGTGCGGTTGAACCGCTCAGTAAGACCATTTGTCTGTGGATGGTATGCGGTAGATTTCCGGTGGATAATGTTGCATTCAGCGAGGATAGCTTGGATGACCTCCGACAGGAACACTCGACCCCTATCACTGAGTAATTCCCGCGGAGCACCATGGCGTAGAATGAAGCTGCGGAGAATGAAGAGTGCAACTTCGTGGGCGGTCGCTGCCGGTAGAGCTGCAGTCTCAGCGTAGCGTGTCAGATGATCGACTCCGACAATAATCCACCGGTTTCCAGAGCTACTATATGGGAGTGGGCCATAGAGGTCTATACCCACGCGGTCGAATGGGCGAGCCGGGCACGGCAGCGGCTGTAACATGCCGGTAAGGTGCCGCGGAGGTGTTTTGTTGTGTTGGCAAGTGGTGCAAGACTGAATGTATTTCTGCACAAAACGATACATTCCTCGCCAGTAATAGCGTTGGCGCAGCCGTTCGTAGGTTTTCAGGACACCTGCGTGAGCACTTTGGGGATCTGCATGGAAATTCATGCAGATGTCAGAGCGCATATGAGTTGGGACAGCAAGGAGCCACTTCCGACCACCAGGCGTGTAGTTGCGGCGGTACAGAATGTTGTCACGTAAGGAAAAGTGGGCTGCTTGCCGGCGTACCGCTCTCGTGGAAGGGACAGAAGATGGATCGGTAAGGTAGTCGACTAACAAGGCAAGGTATGGGTCTTTACGCTGCTCCGAAAGCATGTCAGTGCTGTCGAGTGGTGACAAGGTGGTAAAAGGGGGTGACAGAGAAGCCACATCTGGTGTTAATGGCGATCTGGAAAGTGCATCGGCGTCCGCATGCTTGCGACCGGAACGATATACGACACGGATGTCGTATTCCTGCAATCGAAGTGCCCAACGGCCCAGACGTCCGGACGGGTCTTTCAAGGTGGACAGCCAACATAGAGCGTGGTGGTCTGTGACCACATCGAAAGGACGGCCGTAAAGGTACGGGCGAAACTTCGTAAGCGCCCAGATTATGGCCAAACACTCCTTCTCTGTCACGGAGTAATTCAATTCAGCCTTCTTAAGAGCGCGACTTGCATAAGCGACTACGTATTCGGTTTGGGTACCTTTCCGTTGTGCCAAAACTGCGCCAAGACCAACGCCGCTTGCATCAGTGTGAACTTCTGTGGCAGCAGTGGGGTCGTAGTGGCGAAGAATAGGTGGCGAGGTCAGCAGGCGGCGCAGCTGGTGAAATGCGTCGTCACATGCAGGTGACCATGCAGATATACCTTTGCTGTTGGAAAGCAGACTAGTCAGAGGTGCAATGATGGACGCGAAGTTGCGCACGAAGCGACGAAAGTAAGAGCAAAGACCAACGAAACTTCTTAGGGCTTTCAGTGATGTGGGCATGGGGAAGTCAGCGACAGCTCGAAGCTTATCGGGGTCCGGAAGAACACCGTCTCTTGTGATGACATGTCCCAAGATGGTTAGTTTGCGGGCTGCGAAGTGGCACTTCTTGGTGTTAAGTTGTAGGCCTGCAGAAGCTAGACACGCCAGAACCTCGTGGAGACGACGAAGATGTGTCGGGAAATCAGCTGAAAAGACTACGATGTCATCTAGGTAACAGAAGCAAGTTTTCCACTTGTGGGCCCGCAATATGGTATCTATCATGCGTTCAAACGTCGCAGGCGCGTTGCAGAGCCCAAATGGCATGACTTTGAACTCATACAGGCCATCTGGCGTTACAAAGGCTGTTTTAGGGCGATCACATTCAGCCATTGGCACCTGCCAATACCCAGAACGCAGATCCAAGGATGTGAAGTACTCGGCGCCTTGTAAACAGTCAAGAGCATCGTCTATTCGTGGTAGCGGGTAGACGTCTTTCTTTGTAATCTTGTTTAAGCGGCGATAGTCCACGCAAAATCGAACGGTGCCATCTTTTTTCTTTACCAGAACCACGGGTGACGACCAAGCGCTTTGAGAAGGCTGTATGACTCCACGTTTAAGCATGTCATCTACTTGCTCCGTAATGACGCGGCGCTCTTCGGCAGAAACGCGGTAAGGACGCTGTCGCAGAGGCGAATGTGAGCCGGTGTCAATAGTATGAGTGACAGTCGTGGTGCGGCCCAAAGCAGGTTTCTGAAAGTCGAAAGAAGAGCGAAACTTGTTAAGGAGAGCAACAAGTTGGCTGCGATGCGAGGGGGGAAGGTCTGCGTCAATAGCATCGTCGAAGGCTGGTGAGCTTGATGGCTCAGACGCCTGAGTGATTGCGGCAATCTGACATGGCGTTTCGTCGGGAAGAATAATATCATTGATATGGTCGACAGGTTGCACATATCCTAACGTTTCACCACGAAGCAAGCCAATGGGGTAGTTGCAGTGGTTGGTAACCAGCATTACGGTTAAACCAGACGCAATCGTAAGAACGGTGACATGTCGCCTTAGAAGACGACATTAACGAAGTGCGCGCGGGGCACTGGCGCTGTGGCACGAGCGCGAGCCTGGCGTCGAACGCTGGCCAGGAGTGACTCCAACGCCTGGGCTACGCTTTTGAACTTGTTCACGTTTCCTGTCCTTTAATAAATCGTCTACAGTCACAAGCGGCTGCACAGACGTAACAGTTGGCGACGAGGAAGACTGGATCGACTCATCGGCACTCCACCGACGTCAAGGAAATAACATGGCGACGCCCGACTTCGGTCGGCTACCCGAATTCAGCGGCAGCCCCAGCTCCTGGAGATCCTGGTATGGGAGGCTACAGTTCTTCTTCGAGGCTAACGAGATTACGGACGCATCGAAGAAACGTGCTCATCTGCTAACGCTGTGCGGGGAACAGACTTATGACATCGTCTGCGCCCTCGTTCAACCCAAGCAGCCCAACCAAGTGAGCTACGAGGACATAGTCAAGATGCTCAAGGCTCACTTCGATCCACAACCGTCTGAGGTCTTCTGCAGGGCACGATTCCAGCGACGTGACCAAAAGCACGACGAAACGGTCAGTGATTACGTCACGGCGCTCAAGAAGCTAGCAGCAGATTGCAATTTCGGGACAAGCGCAGACACTGCAGCGAATCCGACAATGCTGCCTATGGACGTCATGCTGCGTGATCGTTTCGTTTGCGGTCTTCGGAACGAGCAGGTCCAGCAACGGCTCTTCGCAGAAAAGGACTTGACGTTCAAGAAAGCTTTCGACCTTGCACTGCGAGCTGAAAACGCCATCGAAGACCAGAAACGCGTGAAAACCGAATTTAAAGAGTTTCACGAATCCTGCATAAGCACATGCAAGATAGACAACCAAGGTCACTCTAGTGCCTCTGCCCAAAAGAAGAAACAACGCTGTTGGCGTTGTAACGCGCTACATAATCCGGACACTTGCAAGTTCCAGACAGTCTCCTGCAACTACTGCAAGAAACGCGGACACATTGAAAAAGCCTGTCTGAAAAAGCGGAAAGAAGCAAAAACGAGCAACAGCATCGAATATCCC